GTAGCAAATATAATACACCAAGAGCTTGCAAAGAAACACAAATTGGCAGACATCCACGAACCATACTACAAGTATATTCCACAGACAGTATTGGAAAATAACACGCACAAAATGTATTACGACAGAGCCATAATCACAGATAAAACAATTTACCACAACAGACCAGACATCACACTCATTGACAAACACAATAAAATCACATACATTATAGACATAGCCATTCCAAACACTCACAATGTACAAAACACATGCACTGAAAAAATTAGTAAGTACACAGAACTCGCCCAGGAAATAAAGCATCTGTGGAGAATAGATAGAGTGCTTATTGTACCTGTCGTTCTCTCCTGTACAGGTGTGATACCACACACACTACACAGAAGCCTGGTAACATTACAATTGAATTGAAATACATACATAACACTACAGAAGGCCACTATATTGAATACATGCCATATTGTTAGGAAATTCCTGAATACTGACACACTGATTTAATTTTTGTTTTTGGTTGCTATGCCTTGACTCTGATCCAGTATAGTACACAACCACCGGTTTGACCCGAGTATAGCCCACTAAACACAGTAATAATAATAATAAGCGCAGAGCTGAAACGGTTAGGAGTTGAATGTTGAAATTCGGTAAACAGTTATGTTACGTTACGAGAACGCACAATAAGAAGAGATTTTTCGAATATTTTCCCCACGGGGGAGAGGGACTGGATTAAGGCTTAACACTTCCATCAACAATGGAAGTGTTACGTAACAATGGAATTGTTAAGAGAAAGCAACGTGCAATACGCGGATGTAGATTGTTCGCATTTGCGGGAAATTGAACATATTTTTAGACCCATCTAAAAATTCTGTAATCAGTCCGGAAACAAGGGGACCTAATTTTTGCATTCTGTGAAAACGGGTAAGGTTGACCATAACGTAGTAATATTAATCTTCCCTATCGTTACTTTTGCCCGAGCAACGCCGGGCCTACCTGCTAGTTTTTAATATAACGCAGCATTGTTCGTGTAAAGTCAAGTTTTAACACAAAACAAAAACTAATGATTATAAGTTTGTAGCTTGAGTTATTTGATCATCAGCATCAGCCTTTATATAGGCTACCTCTATTATTATGTAATTTTAAATTAATATGGTTTAAATTGCAGTACATTATTAATTAATGGAATATCTGATGATTTTAACTTTCTATTGACATTGTCTGTATTTTGTTTTTAAATAGCAAGCTAAATTTTCAGTAAAATCAAAAGGATAAGATTTCGATCTCAATGAATTTCAATAAACTATATGTCTAGAAAAAGTATTAATGAGAAATTAAATTTTTTCAATTATTTATGATAAGTATAATCGTAATAATTGTTTCGAAATATATTTTTCTTTAATAAGTTTATTTTTCAAAAACATTTTCACTTTAATTACTGAAATGTTTATTATAGAATTTTAGTACATGATTGGTTATTGTTCTGTTTTTTGTTCTGTGTTCTTTGGAATTAAGCACAAATTATTTACGGAAAATATCATATAGGAATAATTTATACGATGGAAAAAGTAGATTTTATTATTTGTATGTTATAATAGGAAATGCATTTTGGATCATATGCCGTTCATCACTCTATATTTTATGGTAAAACTACGTAAGATATTACAAAACAAATTAATATTTGTTTATGTTTTGCACACGCATAAAACTCACAAAGCTTTAAAAAAATTACTATAATATAACTAATAGTAACTAATAACGTAAGGTAAAACCAAAAAGACGAAAATAATAAATAGTAATAAATGCAATTTGACCATTTATGCAAAGTTTACAAGTGTGCTTTTTATTTCAGAAGTTGGATATTTTAAAAAAAATAAAATTTTAAATATAAAAAATAAAAATAAATTTGGCATGCTTTATTATTTATACACTAAGTAATATAAAATTTGTAATTGTTGTATATAAACAGAGCCTTTTTTGATTTTTTTTCAAAGATTTTGTAAATTCTTTTTATAATTCATTTACAAAAGAATACTGAAATTTAATATTTTCAAATGTCTAAGGTTTTAAAATATTATCCTAGTTAAATTTTAAATAGCAGTATGTTTAAAGGATTTAAGTAAAGAACAAACGAAAAACAATAGAAAAATAGTAAAATAGTGTGATGTGTGAAAATAAGGAATCGATACCTAAATCATATATCACTACTTAATTTAATAGTTTACTGAAATGTGAATAAAATATATTTTAACATATAGTGTCTCATAACAGTTTGCGCCTAAGTCGATTGCCTAGTTTGCCTAAATAGTAGCGTCAGTTTTCTAAATGGGGCATAAATGTAAAATAATATTTATGGCTTGTTAAAATTAAAAAAAAAACTAAATACAAAGAAAAGAGATAAAACATACAAAGATTAAAATAAAAACAACAAATAGTGGATAAAAAAAACAATGTATAAAGCACTTCACTCTACGTTCTTCAAGTAGGCTAATTGTTATAAGTTGCAGTGAATAAATTATATTAATTTACCCGATAGTTCATACAGTTACATTAACATAATAAAATTCCATCGTTATATTTATGGCATTTACTTTCAGAAAAGCTCACATCTTAGCCATGAAATGCTGTCAGATTATTTTCAAACGCCATCAACCAGTTCTCAAGCAAAAGAATCAATTGAATCTGAAGAAGCTTCACCAGAAAATATTTTCACACCAAGAGAAGCCGAAGAATTTCTTGAAAATTTTAACATCAATTTAGAAATTAAAAAGTTCGAAACATCTTCACAATTGAAATTCTTCTCAGAGATGGATACTGATAAAACTAATTTCGAATGTCAATATTGTGGACAGCAATTTTCTGACGAAATTAGTTTAAACGAACACAATAGACAATTCCATCAATCTAATTAATTTTAGATATTTAACTTTTAAACGATGTGAATTTAAAAAGATATTAAAATTTATTAACATTTTCAGACTTCATATGCTAATAAAAATTAAATTTTTAGTAAAACAATTTTCGTTACTCTATATTTTTAATAAAAACACAGCAAAAGTTTTTATATATAAATTAATGTATTTTAATAATTATTTGAAAAACTACTGTCCAATTATGATTAAATGCTTTTTGTACGAAACAAAATTTCAAAAGTTACACTTTTTGGTTTATTTTAATGATTGAATTGTCTATAAATATTTTATGTACTGTAATACCTCGACTTACGCGAAACCGGAGTTACGCGATTTTCAAATCTCATGGATTCGTCTTTTGTTTGAGCGCCACGAAACTCTTGATTACTCACTCCCCCTACACTATTGTTCGACTTACATGTTCGGACGTGTCGCGCGGAATCGACATATAGCTACAATTTATTTTGTGTTATTTATTTCTGTTTGCTATATCTAAGGAGACTCGAAAGACTCTATTATGTCATGCAAACGAAGTAGAACTGATTCTTCTTCATCAAACAAGAAAATAATAACTTTATCTTTGGAATGTGAAGTTAATATTATTAAAGACTTCGATATAAAAATGAAACTTTGTAAATTGGTAAAGGAGTTTGATCTACCGGAATCGACGGTCAGAACAATTATAAAAGGTAAAGAAAAAATTCTTGAAACTGTAAAATGCTCAATGTTTAAATTCAAGCATCATTCGTAAACGTCACGGTATTATCCCTCAGATGGAAACAATGTTAAAATTATGGTGTGATCATCAAGTAAATGTGAAAAATTATATAATAATATAATTTGTTATACATAAGACTCACGTTTTTTACTCAAATTTTTCTTATCTTTTCAACTTATACGGTACTTACTGTATTATTATTTTTTTTTAATTAAACTATATTTTCTCTTTTGCGATTTCGTTCATCTACGTGATATTAATACATAACTTAAAAAATATTTCTTAGAAAATAAAATTAAAAAAATATCAGATAAAATTCCATCAAATTAAACTGCAATAAAACCTTACTATATATTTGTCAACGTGGATATTAAACACTAACAGAACAATTATACTGGTTTTAAGCATTTATACAAGATTCGAGAAAAACAGACTTTCTTTATTAAGCTACCTGTACACATACAACGATTACACAGTTGTTAATCGTTGTATGTGTACTAAATTAAATAAATTATAATAATATCTATTTGTTAAAAAATTATATTCTTTATCAAATTTTCAGGCAAAACGTAGTAAACATTTTATTTTGCTTACTCTCAAGTTTGATTTAAATTGGATGATAAAATTGATTATGGACAGCAATATCTTCGTAACAATAAACTCACAAAGCTTGGTTACTAAACTGCAAATTCTATCGTTAATAGACGAAGAAATTGAAACGTATATGTAATTTGAAAACTTGTACCCTTTAATTAAGATACAGTCGTGCTATGAGGTGCTAATGGACAATATGTTCCTCTTAAAACCGGAAATAACTGCTTTCCTTAAGGCGATGAAAGAACTATTTGATCTTATATGTTATCGATTTTTTTCAGCTTTTAAGACCATATGTATAGGCAAAGAAATAGTGTGACCATGTAGAACCCAATTTCTAATCTGTATGTGAGTTGGTTTTGCATGAGATGGAGAAAAATACTGTTATACATTTTATATCTGACTTAATATTACACAAGAGGTATGCAGATGATGTCTTCATTTTACGAAGAGACAAAAATAGATTTTTGTTTCTTCGTAATATCTTTAACAGTTTTTTGATGAGATCAACTGAAATAATAAAGGAATTGAATCCATTTTAAGATTCGATTCCTCATTATTAAAATGGAGCAAATAAGTTTAACACGGATACATTTCTTCGACATCCACATCATATTTAACAAAGGATATTTGAACACAAAGTGTATACCCACACATTAAACCTACATTAAATCCACACATGACTCTTGTATATTTTTTTTTCTGTTCAAATAACTTTATTTTTATAAACATTGATAAGAAGTGCCTTCAAGTATTACTTCAACATTTCTGATAAGAAAAAAAAAGCTGGATACAATTAAAAATGTTACTCTATCTTTAAGATATAAAACTGCTTTGATTGAAAAATTAATTCCCAATATATTCAACGTTTTGCATCAAGTTCTTTGAATGAAACTTCTTTTGCACAATCTATATGTCATGCATATCTACAAATATCCAATGAATAATTTATGAAAATCACTGCAAACCTCTTCGTAGTTTTCACTATACGTTTGATAATTTCAAAGAAGTAATTTTACTTGTTTTTATAGTTTTCTTATGCTAACAATCATGCATAATATAATAATTTCATAAAACAATTGCTGAATCTCACATTATTCTGTTGCATTGTTGTTCTTTCATCTTGTCAAAATTTGTGAACTGAATTTTAGGATTTAGAACATTAATGAAATCAAACGAGATAAGTGAAAGTTTCATTTCAATTCATTTGTAAAACATTACTTATATTTTTCGAACTTTTTTATTCGAAATTGCGACAACAGAGTAATTTAGAATTGTAATGTTACATCGAAAAATACATATATTTTACTATTATGTTTTTATATAAGTACAAAATATTTACGATAATAATTAGAAAAATTAATAACTTTTAATAAAGACATAACGCTATATTTAAAAAGGATGAAGAAAAGGAATATCAATGCAATGAATGTGAAAAAAGATTCAAGTATAAACATATTTTGGAAAATCATATCAGAATTCATACTAAAGAAAAACCGTTTGTTTGCAATATTTGCGGAAAACGATTTTCACAGTCTGGAATTTTAATAAATCACAGAAAACTACATTCAGAAGAAGGAAAATTTAAATGCAATTATCAAAACTGCACGTACGATACTAGATATAAATGGAATTTGCTAAGACACGTGAAAAAAACACATTTAAAAGCAAAATTATCTCAAGTGATTATTATTATTATTATTATGTTTTTATTTTTGTTATTTAAGTCCGTAAAGTTTACTGTTAAAAATATAAACTATAATTATATGATAGACTGCACAAGAATATAATAATCTATGTTTTCAATAATAAACGAAACACTCTTTTTTAAGAATACATCGAAAAATACTTACTATATTTTAAAGAATTAAATTATTTCTTTCGTTACCGCTTTTATATTTATTCAAAATTTAGTCAATGAACTCAAATAATAAAACTTTCATTCCTGAAAAGTATGATTATACAATAAAACCTGAAGGAAAATACATTAATTCAACTTATTGTCATTTATACAAATAAATACAACGTATAAATGAAGTAGAAAATGAATAACGTAAATTTTTAAGGACAGTCCCGTTTAAATGTTAATATAATCAACTGTACAATTACTAAATTCTCTCTTGCAAACAAAATATAAATGTTCATTTTGTTATAGCGTAATTTAGTATTTATATTTTATTCTAAAAAAAAAAAAAAAACATAACTCGTGTCCATCTTTGTTAGTTTTTAATAATTTGGCTGCAATTTGTAATAATTATAAAATTATAAATTTCTTATATTGTCTGTCCGTGCGGCTGTCTGTCTTTCCTGATTCTCAATAACGGCATTAGATAGATGAACGCATAGACAAAATGTGGAAACCACGGGGGTATCAGGCCCAATAGTTTGTATCGTTACCAGTTAAATATCTTGTTATATTTGCATTCTTATCATTAAACATAAGCATAATATAACTGATTTAGTCAAATTCATCTTAGAAAAAAAAATTTCCGTTTATAATTCCATAAGTATATTTTAATATAAGATTAAAAACTGGATTTTTTTTATTAATTCTAATGCCATCGCATTTAAATAAATCACAGAGATTAATTATGAAGTAATTTTATAAGCATTCAGAATTTTTGGAAATAAGAAAAATTTACAAATATTAAAATTTAACTTTATTTTAAAAATATTAGAATTCAATTTTTGTTTTCCATATATAACAAATAGCTAAATAAGTAAATGTATAATTATTAGAATGAATCAAAAGAAAGAAAGTATAGATGTGACTCCTGTACAAAAAGTTTTAAACTTCCATCTGATTTAAAACAGCACATGCTTTCTCATTCAAAGGAACGTCAATATTCATGCGATATTTGTAAAAGGAAGTTCAGATATAAATTTAATTTAAATCAACACAATAAACGCAAGCATGCACAACAAGAAAATGGATCTTTCTCCAAAGTACGTAGAAAAGTTTTTTAAATGTAACCTTTTAAATATTAGTCAATCTTTATAAAGTAATAACGATAATCTAACGTATAAATATGAAGTTTCTGCTTGAACTATTTGCTAATCAGAATTTTTCTGGGTAAATAATTATATTATTATTGGAATGCAATTTTCAACTTATATATTCCTACTTTCGTGTCTTTTTCTGGCAATCCTTTATTATTCTCGAGAAAAGAGTTTGATAAGAGTAAGATACATAAAAATCGAGACATAATGTATTTAATTAATTCAAAGTTTGATTATTTCAGAAAGTAGATTTCATGAAATAAACTATGATTAAAACTTGCATCTTGGTAATGTGACGATGTCGCAATTAGTAATAAACTAGTTGTAATTCATCTCACACTGTAATTTTATTAATAATGTTGGTCATGTAAAATTAATAATTAATATATAATATTTAATATTTTTTAACCCGTGTCTGAATGATCTTGTACGAAAAGTATCAAGAATTGTTCTTTAACTAGCAGATTAGCCCGGCTTTGCTCGAGCAAAATTAAAAACAGCAAAGATTAAGATTATTAGATAATTTCGTACTTTCAACACTTTCTATTATATGATATTTGTTACAGTACCGTATAGTATTTTATTTATATTTACAAAGGTTATCTTACTTGAAGGTAAATTTTCGTGTAAATTTTAAATATTATACAAATTTTAATCTCAAGTACTATAAAAGTTAATTATCTCAAATTATATTTTACTTACATAAATGCGATCATACTGTTTATAATATTTACCTTTAGGATAGCATACAACATGCTGAACAAGTGCAGGCTAAATCGTTTCAAACACCATCAACAAGTGCTCAAGCAACAGGGTTAAGTGAATTCGAAGAAGTAGCTTCAAGAGAGATTATTTTTACACCAAGAGCTGAAGAATTTCTTGAACACTTTGACATCGATTCAGAAATTATGCAAATGGAAACATTCCCACAGATGGAACTCTTCTCAGAAACACTCGATATGATAAGCCCTTACGTAAGATTACCTTCGTAGTTATTTAAATGAAATACAATAATATAACAAACATTAAAACGACAACTATGTAAAGAGTTTGGTTATTTCGGCCTACCATTGTCTGGTTTAGGCAAAACTCAGATTGTACGAAATGGCAAAAGTCTGTGATGAAATAGACACAAATTGAAAATATATCTTAACATTAAAAAACATTATAATATCTAAAAACTTTAATTCTAAGACACTTTACCATTCGCAGTCAAACATAAAAGGGTAATTTGCCGATCAATTAAATTTCACATAAAAACAGAAAAAACATTTAAACTGGTTACCTTTGGAAACCACTTTAATTTTATGCTGTGCTTGCCGATAACATTGTATTATGTAATTTCCCGATTCAAATGCCACCATATCGCTGAAACAGATAAGAAAAAAGGGACGGTCGCAGAACGGGATTGAAATAATTCGACCAAAAGTAGTTGTTTACCTCTTCCCGGAAGAGATGATGCTCAACGACTACTAATAAATATAATTACTACTCGTGTATTATTAATTAATATTTCAAAAGTGATCTGTATTAGGTAGGTTGTGACAGCCTCGCATGTAATGACAGTTGCTAGTTTTCATGTAAATTTGTTTAAAAAAATTTTGTATAGATGCGAGAATAATTGTTTATATACTATATTAAAGTGTTTGCATTTTAAAAATAGATTGTATAAACGATGCGGGATGTATGTTCTCATAAATATTGCGTTTATAGAAAAATTATTGAGCTGCAATTCGAAAAAAAAAATTGTAGACTAATAAATTTCGACTGTCATCATATGTCTGACTGTTGCCTGTCATTTCTTAATCTGGAGAAACGAGTTAAATAGATGAAAGTCGCGATCAGGTGCCGAAAGCGTAAAGTAGGCCAATATTAACTATATAGGAACTTTTAGTTTCCAACGGAAGTCACATTATTTCGATTTAAAAACGTAATATTTATAACTGAATTAATAGAAACTAGAAACTTTTAAAAGAAATAAAGTTAAATATCTGTAATTTTATAAACTATTGTGAGAATACGGACGATGGTCCAGCCGTCTAATCGTCAGATCTGTTAGACTTGCTCACCTTGTCACTGGATGGCTTAAATTTTTACAAAACCGAGTGGTAAAATTTTATGTGGGGTTGTGCATAAGCAATAAATACTCGACTAAAAAGGTCATATAGTAAAAAATCAACACTTTAATCACAGAAGACCAACACAACAAAGACAAAAAAAAATAATAACAAAACATAAAACATAAGTCTAACTTAAGACTAGTATCAGAGCATTTCAGAGAGAGAGCTTACAAACTTTTACCTCGTTGTTCATTGTTGTTAATCTCGGGGATATCAGGCTACAGGCGGGAGAGGCTGGGAGCAAGCACAGTGGACAAATCAAGAACATTCTCTATATGGCAATAAACTGCCTGTTCCTTATGGCATGTTCTGTCGGGGATGAACTGCCTCGGGTATCTGAAAACCTGCCCTTTTATTACCGATTATTTCACAACAACAATTCGTAGAGATGTTGTGTCATTTGACTAGGTGGTGTGCAAGATTCTAAGATAGGAGGTGTGGAGGAAGGACGCAAAACATCCTCATTTCTTGTTAATTGCTGCGTGACAGAGCAGTTTTTCAGGATGTTAAAGTTTTGTAACCTTTATAGGTTATATTAATTTTATTACAAATTTTTATCATTTTTAAACATTTTAAGTGAGAATTAAAGTATATTATTTATTTAAATTTGTTTAGAGTGAAATTTATGTAATTCACTTTAAGAGTCCCTCCGGATTATCACACTATTGTAAGAAATGAAATAACAATCTGTAAGTTTGATTAGTGGTAAAAATTCTGGGGATCATAAAGATGCTACAATTAAAATTCAATAACGATTGGTTCAGTAGTTTTCACGGTTAGTGGTCACAAACGAAAAATACGTTCTCTGTTTACATAGTAGTATAGATTATAAAAAATGAAATAACAATTTGCATCACCCAACTTTACCAAACGTGCAGTCATCCCTTAGGCCTTTATATTTAAAAGCCACATCTTCATGTCATTGGGCTGTCAACGTAATATATGTGAAATAATTAAAATTATACTATTAACTTTTTTTATATTTAAAAATCACAAAATGTGCATATCTTGTATACAAAAATACACAAGTTTGTAACATTTTTTAAAATGTTTGAAAAATCTGGTCATGTGTATGTCAACGGTCAACTAGTTAAGCATTATATCGCTGTTTTCAATAAAACGCCGCACGAACATTATAATTACAAAAATATTATTTATGAATGATGCAAATACTTTTCAAAGCTGTACAGCTTTGAAATATTATAGACATTTTAATCGCAATTATCATAAAAGTTAATTATCACAAATTATATTTTTAATTACTTAAATGCGATCATACTGTTTATAATGTTTACCTTTAGGAAAGCATACAACAAGCTGAACAAGTGCAGGCTGAATCGTTTCAAACACCATCAACAAATGCTCAAGCAACAGGGTTAATTGAACTGGAAGCAGTTGCTCCAAGAGAAACTATTTTTACACCAAGAGAAGTTGAAGAATTCCTGGAACACTTTAACATAGATTCAGAAATTATGCAACTTGAAACATCCTCACAAATGGAACTGTTCTCACATATAGAAACAGAAGATAATAAATTTGAATGTCAATTCTGTAAAGAACAATTCTCTAACGAAATTTCTCGAAATGAACACGAAAGAAACTTTCATCACTTTAATTAATTTTGACAAATATCGGAAGGTTGCGAATGTTTTGTATTTTATAATGGAATCAAAATTGAATTATCGAAAAATTATTCTTAGTTAGAGTATATTTATATGTAAAAATACTGCGAAAAATTTACGTTGAGTTTAATTTATTCTAATAACTATTTGATAAAAAAATTATCTACATATTATTGGTACGAAACAAAATTTAAATGTTGTTCTTTCACATTTAATTTTTCGTGAAAATCAAAAAGATTTAACTATCTGTAAAAATTTTACATACTTATATTTCTAAAATGCAAATATGTTTAATTAAATAANGCAAGCAGGTGTACAGGTGTCTCGAGAATAAGATTCTTTATTTGGCCGAACACTCTTTACTCTTATTGGAATACCCGATGGCATATCTTCCAGTAAGTCTAGAAGTATTTCTTTTGGATAGTCAAGTATTTGTAACTTGTTAGATGAGGGTTCATTGATCGTTGGTATTAATTTTGTTTACAAGAAAGTATGGCCCAACAAACGACCAGTGTCATCAAACACTGATAACAATCCTTTATTGAAATCTATGGGAATTCCTTACAAGCGAGTTTTAACCATAAAAAATGTGGCTATAAAAATTATCTACATATTATTGGTACGAAACAAAATTTAAATGTTGTTCTTTCACATTTAATTTTTCGTGAAAATCAAAAAGATTTAACTATCTGTAAAAATTTTACATACTTATATTTCTAAAATGCAAATATGTTTAATTAAATAAATTAACCTTTAAAAAATTGAACGTTTGTCACAATTTAATGTCTAACTTATTTTAACAGTAATTATTTTAAAAAATTATCTCATTTTAGATATAAATTCACGTCGTTTAGAATTTGCATGTTTAATATCCAAATCAAAACATGAGATGAAAATATATTACGCCATGTAGAAATAATGGATATTTACATGACACTCAAAGTTCTTCTTAGGAGATTTGCTTTGGTAATAATAAACTTGGAGATTTAAAGCGAAATGCTTACCGCTTCCAAGAGCCAAGCTTATTTTTACCGAAGAAAAATTGCTAAGAAAAATTTTGTTTGTCGTCTAAAATGTCATAAAATTTTACTTGGCGTAACTTTTTACGTCTTTTTTCGTTTGGATACCAATTGTATTATTACTACATAAGACGATGGCGTAATAATACTATCCGGTACGGCCTATAAAAAGCCAAATGAGGCCTTTTTTAGGCCGTTTACAAAAATCGATGTAAACAGCTTCAATCGGCCTAAATTTTAGCATCTGTAATTCAGGGTAACATTTTGAATAAAATTCATTTGTTATCGTAAAATTTTATCGTTATAAGTATAAAATTAAACCGTAAAACTGAATTAGATCTATGAGGAAACCCCCGTGAACTTTGACCTATCGACCGGGAGATTTCACGAACACTCGCAGATAACGAGATATATAGCTTATAGTGTATTATTTTTCATAATTACGACATAAATTAGATATAAAATAAAAATGGTGTAAGATGTAATATATATGTACAGTACATATATATATGTATATGTGTATTTAAATTCACGATTATTCTTCAACCACAATTACTTATTCTTGCAATACAATCTTACAGTTAATGATTAATGTATATAATTTTACCATAAATATCATATAATCCTGTTGAAATATTAATTAATGCCCAAACTGAAATGGGGTGTTACCCCTCTCATTATTTTTGATTTAAAAATATCTGGTAATAAAATAGACTAGCAACGAGCGGCTCAATTTTCCCGGAAGCATTTAAAATTTTGAACGAATTTTATTAAAACACTTTTTATACTTTTATTACTATAAAATTTCAAAAAGCTTAATTTTGATGGCATGGAGAGTTTTATAAACAATTTTAAATGCTAATAACGTATAAAATCGACATTAAGTCTGACCCTACTGGAAATACACATGATCTCTATTATAGCACCACCTACTTCATTTTTAACCACCAAAATTTAACGCCATCAATACTCGTTACAAAGTAACCTACAATTTTTTTTTAATTTTCGACAGAAAGGACAGGAGTTATTGAGGGTCAAACAGAGTAAATTAAATCGTGCCACACACAGAAACAAACACACTAACCTCCATACATATAAATATTACCTCCGATTTTTTTCTTGCATTTCTCGACGTTTCAAAATGTCCTAAGTCAAAAAAATGTTAAAATTTAAGGGGTTTATCTTTTCACCGATCGCCATACTTTCCTTCTGTTATANGAGAGTTTTATAAACAATTTTAAATGCTAATAACGTATAAAATCGACATTACGTCTGACCCTACTGGAAATACACATGATCTCTATTATAGCACCACCTACTTCATTTTTAACCACCAAAATTTAACACCATCAATACTCGTTACAAAGTAACCTACAATTTTTTTTTTTAATTTTCGACAGAAAGGACAGGAGTTATTGAGGGTCAAACAGAGTAAATTAAATCGTGTCACACACAGAAACAAACACACTAACCTCCATACATATAAATATTACCTCCGATTTTTTTCTTGCATTTCTCGACGTTTCAAAATGTCCTAAGTCAAAAAAATGTTAAAATTTAAGGGGTTTATCTTTTCACCGATCGCCATACTTTCCTTCTGTTATACATAAATGCAGGGAAAANTTTTTTTTAATTTTCGACAGAAAGCACAGGAGTTATTGAGGGTCAAACAGAGTAAATTAAATCGTGCCACACACACAAACAAGCACACTAACATCCATACATATAAAAATTACCTCCGATTTTTTTCTTGCATTTCTCGACGTTTCAAAATGTCTTAAGTCAAAAAATGTTAAAATTTAAGGGGTTTATCTTTTCACCAATCGCCATACTTTCCTTCTGTTATACATAAATGCAGGGAAAATAAAAATTACAGAATTATATAAGGTTGAAATTTTTTAAATCAAATTTGTAATGCATTAAAAATATTGTAATGCATAAAAATATAGTAGAAATTATACATAAATACTAACCTACGCCAGGCGTCGCCGACGTCAGGAATCTGATATGGCACCACGAAGAAGAAGATACATATGTATTTAATATAATGACCAGTGTACTTATCAGAAATATAACGTAATAGTAAAAACGTTGATGTAGCCAAATATTAAAAAAACGAATAAATTTAAAAAATCTAATATTGAATCAAACTAATTGCAATATAGCTGAAGATATTTACGATGCTTTGATTAAAGGAATAAATTTTAATAATCCAGCCATAGCTAATAATTATAAGGACATAACTATAACGTTCGAAAATATTTTGTTTCTTTCAAAGATTGGAAGGTACAAACATTTAAGATAAATTTAAATACTTTATGTCTCATCCGTTCAGGGACATCTGCTAAAAAATGGCGTGTTTTGAATTTCTTGTGCTTCGTATATAATTCGTGCAAGCAGGTGTACAGGTGTCTCGAGAATAAGATTCTTTATTTGGCCGAACACTCTTTACTCTTATTGGAATACCCGATGGCATATCTTCCAGTAAGTCTAGAAGTATTTCTTTTGGATAGTCAAGTATTTGTAACTTGTTAGATGAGGGTTCATTGATCGTTGGTATTAATTTTGTTTACAAGAAAGTATGGCCCAACAAACGACCAGTGTCATCAAACACTGATAACAATCCTTTATTGAAATCTATGGGAATTCCTTACAAGCGAGTTTTAACCATAAAAAATGTGGCTATTCCGATCATGTAGACTTCCCTCGGAAATTGATTTTGTATGTGAACAAAATCAGCTGTGAAAATGAGGCGCATCCACACAAACGTCATAGAATCCATCTTCAGCTGTTATCACGTGACTAAAACCTGCTAGATTCATCGCATGTATTGTTCCTTCTTGAAGTGGTAATTATATAACTGGTGTTCTTCCAGAACATGCCAGTCAGGGCTGTGAGCCAAACCCATCCCACGTGCGACGGTTTCGGTACTTATCGACGGGATAGCATAACATGAGGTACAATTTCCTCAAAGTACGGTTTATGTACGGTTTCCTCAAAGTAGAAAGTGTGGGATTGCAACACATTTGGCTTTGTTTGCTGAAAAGGCAGTTGTTCCCCTCAGCCACTGATTATCGCTGGTAAAAGTAACATGCAATGGAGTACAGCGATACAGAATACGCTGTTGATGTCGAAACGAGCCGCTCTTCTATTACACTGAGTTACATCATAAATTAACATATGTCGAGGTATTTTCCAAACGTATAGTTAGATATTTTAATTTTAACTATGTAGTTTTAATTTTTATATTATAATGACGTCAATTAACGTCTGTTACTTTACCAGCTCTTATAATTAGGGGAACTTCTAACGCCGAGAAACGAAAAACAAATGGAGAATTTTTCCGTATGTATACATTTTGTGTGGGTGTGTGGAGAGAACGATTTTGTTCATTTATTTTGATGCTTAATAACTCCTGTGTTTTTGTCGTAAATTTCTGAAATTAGATAAGGAAGTTTGTTTATTATTAAAATCAAAGTTATTAATCTTTGGTCATAAAAGATGGAAGCAGTGGAAGATAAGTGATGACATGTTTCATGTATCATATTTCGAGTGGGTGCGACTCAATATAGATTTTATTCGTTGTACGTTATTCTACAAATTCAAAATTTATTTTAAATGCTAAATTTTTAAGAAATTACTTTGGTCACTTTGAAACCAACGAATTTTTAAATATGAATCAGGTGAAGAAAGATTTTTAAAAATTAAATGAAGTATTCAATTTTCTTTATTCAATGTTCTTGAATTGTGTTGAAGTTGATGGTTTATCCGAATCCGAAATGTTTTCTTCGTCTGTCTCCAGTCTCCTTCTACTTATCTGGAGAAGAATTTCTGCAGCGCTTAATACATCTTGATCCATTGTTGTTTGATGATCCGAGGTTTGACTAGAAGACTGCAAATTTGACTTCAGCTTTACTTCTTCCGAAGAATGAATGTTCTTCGTTACATCTTCTGTACATTCCTTAAAAAATAAAAATCTACGGATTATTATAACTATACATCAACCAAAGTCGAATATTATCGGTCAAGAAACGGTCATAATATACATAATTTATAAGACAATTTAGTACTAGAGTTTGTCGTTAAACGCAATCTCTTAATAAATTTAATGATTTTAATTTTAATTAAATAATTTAGAACTACTGGAAGAAAAGAATAGGATCTGAGCAGGACTCGAACCCGCAACTCCTAGCTTACCATGCAGATATAAGCTCTTCCAGCATATATAAGCTTACATTACGATCATTGACGGTCATTACATTGGCGGTTGGGGATATATCCAGCGTCCACATCCTGCAAATTGTATACCGAATTGTCTTATAAATTGTAAATATTATAGCCGTTTCTAGCCCGATAATATTCGGCTTGGGTTGGTGTATTGCTTTAAAGTATATAGGGTTTAGTGATAATGTTTGTTTATCTATATATGCCTTGCCGGGGTTGCGGTGGTCGGTTAAGTGCCTTGGGAGATGTTTAGAAGACATGAGCGCCCGATTGGATGGAGAAATTTGAATTTTTATAAATGAAAAGGACCAGGCTGTTTTTAAATTGTACGATAGACAGTGGGTTTTAGAATTATGTTTCCTTACTAATATCACAATGAAATTAAACGAACTTAATAAGCAGCTTCAAGGTAAAACAAACTGATCAAAGACTGTAATCGAAATACAGATGCTTAGCAAAACTCAAACTTCATGAAAGTCAGTTAAAATAAAAAAACTACAATTCATAGTTCAAAATTACATAAACATTTTTCTAAATATGCACAAGAAATTACTAATTTACTAAGAGAATTGAAAGATTTTCATATTTAAAAATTTATAAGAATATATTTAATAATTAATGTCCATTTGACAACGTTGTGGAACAACATTTAACAAATTTGCAGATAGATTTGATAGACCTCCATTTATCTTCTGATTTGAAATATATGTTTGAGACTAATAACTAAGGTCAGTTTTATACAAAATACGTCTGTAATGATACATTTCCTAAACCAAATGGAAATCAGATATCTATGAAAATCTTTTTTCTCAGAATTAAAGATTGTTATCTGTAAAGGTCGTAATAGATTAACCGATAAAAGTTTTAAAAAAACCAATTATGTTGTACAACATCAAAAATACCTCTTTACATTAATAAATTAAGTGAAAAAAAATTGAAAAAGCAGGTTTTACATTAAAATACATACAAAACACTGTATAATTGTATATGTTTTGTTATAAACAAATATGTGTGGCTAACAGTTTATTTTTATTTTTGATTTTGGCTCAGTAAACAATTTCGGTTAGATATCACTGGTCTAGATTGACCTAAATTAAGCTTTTCATTCAATTCTTCTTAAATTTTTTTCTGAATGTTTAGTTCCCGAAAACATAACATCAATTACATAAATATTTCGGGGGGCGTGACTTGACCGTGAGCGCTGCTGGTGACTTTGTTTCTACACCTCGAAGTGATTCTAGAATTTAGTGTATTTTTCCAATTTTATTATCTGAACTAACCAAAAGTGTTTAATACTAATAAGAAATAACCAAGTTCGAAGAAAATTAATAATTAATAAGTATGCAACGATCACCAGTAAAACGTGGTAGACCGCCAACTAATAAAAGCAAACCGGAAAGCAAAAAGATGCAACCAGGTACATCTAATTCCAAGCTCATTACAGACTACAATTTATCAATGGATAAAGAATTACAGGAATTGTCTATGGCAAATAATAGTCCACATACGGATATATCTAAACAAAATCTACAAAGCTCTCCAGGTGAGTCCAATATAATTAATTCATCTACTCCAATAAGTTCGAATGACACTTTAACAGCAGATTTATGGAACAGGATATCTGAACTGATTAATACTTCTAATGATAAACTATCTACACAAATGGAATATATAAAAGAAGAACTGAATTTAATTCACAGTACTATACGGGAAAATAAAATTCAATTTGAAAAAATGGAAAGTTCAATAGATAATCTAAAAATTCAAATTGACAATTTAAAATCTGAAAAGGAACTGATACAGTATAAAATGGATACTCTAATTAATGACTGTCATTATAATAATATAGTATTATACAACTATCCTTCGTCAAAAAGCATTTCCAAACCAGAAATTCTTAAATTCATTAACTTAACATTAAACCTAAATAATGTAACTCAAGATGATATCCTAGATATAATTCAAATAACCAAACCAACCAACCAGATTATAAAACTATCATTTAGTACGAAACAGACTCGTGATCAAATGTATAATGCTTTCATTTCAAAGAAACAACATAAATTAATGGAAGACTGGGATAATATACAGATAGCACCTGATCTTACTAAAGAAACACGTAAAAGAAGAAAACATTTATTGCCAATATATTATGAATTAAGAAAACAAAACCAATCAGTTAAACTACGCAACGACACACTGCTAATAGACCGCAATAGATTAACTTTTAGTATCAATACAGGAAAATTAGTTTACGTGGATACCTTTCAGCCTTTCTCAGAATTATCAAGTTGATATTTACAACAAAATAAACCTCACAAAGAGAAAACAATTAAAAATATACATCCGACTACAGTTTTAAATTGGAATAGTCAAGGCTTAAAGAATAAACTCCTATCAATAAATTATTTTCAATTAAATTATGATCCTGAAATAATAGGCATAACCGAAACTTGGATTACATCTGATTTATTTTATAACTCAACGTTCTTCAATAAATATATAACAATAACAGTTCCAGCAATAAAACCTTCTGGACCAGGTCGTCCAAGTGGTGGGCTGTGCATTCTGATAAAAAAACAAATTTGCAAAATACAACAAATCAAAAAATCTGATAACTATATACTACTTTTACTGTCAATGAATAAACCGATATTTGAAAATAATCAACAATTAATAATAATGATCACCTATATTCCTCCCAATTGTCTGGCAAAACTTAATGAAATATTTAAAATACTGGAGCTTTGGCAGCATTCTACTCCATATACTCTCTTATTAGGAGATTTTAATGCACGAATTGCTGAGATGACAGATTCATATTATAGTGGTCCTAATCAACAAATTCAAAATATCAGACAATCCAAAGACAATTCTACTAATAAACTTGGAATAAACTTAATAAAATTAACAAAAGATAATAAACTATATATTTTAAACGGACGCATTAAAATGGATTACCCAGCAGAATTTACATGTGTTGAACATAATGGTAGTTCTACTGTAGACTTAACAATATGTTCCGAGTACATGCTGGACTGTTGTTTGGAATTTACTACGATCGCTCATGACACATCAGATCATTTTCCAACGATATCTAAATTTCTATTATCTTCACAATATTCTGTAAACAATGAAAATAACAAGCTTACAAGAATTTATTATA